GGCGCCTTAGCTGCTTGAGCCACAGGCGCTGAGCCTTCACACAGATCTTGATGACAGCTGGGAGTGCGCAGCTCCCCTCAAGGTTTCTGGGTTTTCCCTAACACATGCACAGTGATGCTGGGGACAGACGTTGTCTTGCCACCACAGTTCTCAGTCTCCTGAGAGAGACAGTGGGTAGAAACGCTACACATCTAATTGTATTATTAGAACTGTGGGGAATGCTCCACAGGAGGACAGAAGGTTGTGAGTGTTTGGCGAGGGACCCAACTTGGCAAACGTTAGTAAACAGAGGACTGAACTGACATAACTTTTTTGTTTTTAAAAAATCCGTGTAACTATTGCATGGGAGTGGCCTGAGAGATAGCGGAGAGGAGGCAGAGACCCCGAGGAGGGCAGCTACATCGTGGCTGGGTCAGGCAGGACGGGCGGCAAGGGCGAGGGCAGCAGGAGTGGGCGCCCGGGACGGGTGCACAGGGGAGGAGCTGGCAGTGTCCCCTGGAAAAATATCTGGCATTTACTTGGAAAAGGCACTTGAGGGAATGGTAATAGTCAGAAAGGGAACTCAGTGATTATCAAACCCGTTTCAGAGCTTCCTGGAGGAGGAGTTCATTCTTTTTGGCATCACAAATTGCCTTCCTTCCCCACTATTCCTATACCCCAAATTTTTGTTTTTAAAAGATTGAGTGATACCTAGAGAAGGTGAATGTGGAAACTTTTTCTTCGAGAGTAAAATACAAGTGAATATTTTGAGGTGTGTGGAGGGAAGCAGATTCTGTAGGTGTTAACAAGGAGCGTGTTTCAGCTTGCTGGACGCAGGCCCTGACAGCAGACAGCGCCTTCTCAGCTCACCTCTGTGCAGTTCCAACAGCTGAGAGTTTCTTTTGAGCTTTATATTGAGGAGTTTGTACTTTCAAAACCATCAAATGTGTTTTAAAGGTATGGTGGTAGATGCCTGCAGTCCTAGCTACCCAGGAGGCTGAGGCAGGAGGATCGCTTGAGTCCAGGAGTTGGAGGCTACAGTGAGCTGTCTGTGATCATGCCACTGTACTGCAGCCTGGGCCACAGAGTGAGGTCGATCTCTAAGAAAAAAGTTAAAAAAGAAAAACCTGCATAGCTCTTACCTTTATTATGTATTCTGCATCAATGCTCAGATTCTAAGCATTTCTGCTTAAAAGTGCCAGAACTATTTGGGGTCAGGGTTGGGGTAGAGAGGAAGGAGTATTGAGAACAAATGTGGCTACCGTCATAGCATCCAGCCCAATAGTCCACACATTCTTCCTAGCTATGAATTTGTGAACTGTCTGCTGAGCTGTTTGTATCAGTATTTAATGATAGTACATCGCTGCTTTCAGGGGCAGTTCAATTTTTTGGAAATAGCTAAAAATTCTTTGGAACTGGTTATACTGAATGAATGCTCAATCAGATGTGGGTAATAATACTCTTTTACACACATAAGTATTTTTTTTTTTTTTGAGACTGAGTCTCACTTTGTCACCCTTGGTAGAGTGCTGGGACGTCACAGCTCACAGCAACCTCAAACTCTTGGGCTCAAATGATTCTCTTGCCTCAGCCTCCTGTATAGCTGTGACAACAGGTGCCTACCACAATGCCCAGCAATGTTCTGGTTGTAGTTGTCATTGTTGTTTGGCAGGCCTGGGCTGGGTTCGAACCCGCCAGCTCCAGTATATGTGGCTAGTGCCCTAGCCGCTGAGCTATAGGCGCTGAGCCACACATAAGTATTTTTTGTTTTATTTTTAAGACTGTGAATAAACTAGTGTTTCTGGCTGGTAAACAAAAGACTTCTAAAAGAGAAGACTAGGCGTTTTGTAAGCAAATAGCATCTTCTTGAGGTGGCTTTTTTGTAGGCCCTTTTAAAACATCCCAGTAATATCTGTGTGTTGGTTGAAATCCAGTCTCCTACTTTGTAGTCAAACTGATCTATCCGGGCTCTTCTCCCCTTGCCCAGGGGGTTAGGATTTCTGCTTTTAAATCAACAATGAAAGTTGGTCTTTGTCCTCCTCCGTATGCCCTGGCAGCATTTGTCAGAGCAGAATCCAGGTGGCCCGAAGATGGGCTCTGGGCCCTGTGGGCAGCGTTTCTCCAAGCAGCAAGCCCAGGATTGAGGGTAGTGCTGTTGACATTCTGATGGTTACCAGAAGGAGTTATTGGAATTTTCTGTCTCTTTCCCTGAACTCATTTCATTTTCTTTTTTAGTCTGAGCAACACAAGAAGCAACAGGAAGCTGAGAAACTACATAGACAAGAAAGGAAAAAGCTCCGTCGCTCAGCTGGTCACCTGAAGTCAAGACACAGAAGAGGGCGGCCGTTTCATTGAACTTGGAAGGGATTCTACGTGTGATTAGGAAGGAGCACAACTTCCCCAAACTGACCGTCATTAGCGTATAAACATAGGCAAAGGAATGTACATTTTAAAGTTCTGTGTAACTTCTTGCACATGGAGGTAAAGATTTGATAACTTGTCCCTGTGCTTCTGCCAGCGCCCGCCACATGGCCCCAGAGGTGCTGTTGCAAATTACTGTTCCCTCTGAGCATTGTCCTTTTCCCCAGTTTTAATCATGTGAGCCAGGCTGTTGTCTGTGTAATATTGTAAAATGTGCCGTGAACTGAGAGGTCTATCGTGCGGTGAAAACAGGTCTGTCGTGTTCTAAGGACTTTTTCTTGCAGTGCCTGCTGCCATCTTGATTAAGCCACCCAGAATATCCCCCCTGCTTTATTTGCTATCTCTGTATTGGCCATGTTTGTGTTTATAAGTATAAGCTGGTAAGTGTGTTGCCTTGTGTATGTATGAGTTTGAGATTTTTAAAAATATTTTTATACCGGCCGGGCACAGTGGATCACACCTATAATTCCAGCACTTGGGAGGCCAGGGTGGGTAGATTGCCTGAGCTCACAGGTTCGAGACCAACCTGAGGCAGAGCGAGACCTCATCTCTAAAAATAGCCAGGCATTGTGACAGTGTCTGTAGTCCCAGCTACATGGGAGGCTAAGGCAAGAGAATCACTTAAGCACAGGAGTTTGAGGTTGCTGTGAGATATGATGCCACGGCACTCTGCCAAGGGTGACAAAGTGAGACTCTTGTCTCCAAAACAAAAAAAGTTTTTTTACCAAGAAAGTATATAATTTAACGGGACAGGCTAAGAATCCCAAATCTGAAAGTTCAAAACGTTATGAACACCAACATGATCCTGGAAGGAAATGCTCATTGGAGCATTTCGGGTTTGGGATGATCAGCCGGTAAGGGTAATACAAATATTACCACATCCAAAACATTCCAGCGTCCGAAACCCTTCTAGTCCTGGGCGTTTGGATAAGGGATACTCATGTAATGAGAAACAAGATCTGGAAGGTAGCTACTGGTTATTCTTTCCTTAAACTTGGCATAAGAGTTTTTTTCTGTTTCTTAAGTTCAATTAAGAGATAAACTTGTGGAGAAAACATTTATAAAAATAAATACTTTCATCTGAATGGCTTCTTTGAGAAAGACCTATTTCTTGAGTTAATTTGAAAAATAACTTTGGTACTCTTAGTTTTCTGGGCATTAATGTGACTTTGAAGGTATTTTCATAAATGTTTAAAGTTGCTTTATATACAATTGAAATAGTAACTCTCTGGACTATAAATGATAGACTCTAATTTGGAATGTTGTAAGCCAAAAGCCAGAATGCATTAATTAACATAACCACTTTGGAACATGTGATTGGCCTCAGGAACACCTTGAATTGGGTCTCAAAGCTTAGTCAGATATTCCTCTCTCCCCCCCATTCTTCCACTTTTCCTTCTCCACTTACCTCTCCCCTCCCTCC